TATATATATATATAAATTTTGAAAACTGAACAAATTGTGTAAGTATTCTTTCAATTCATTCAATATTCACAATTTCATACAATTTTTGGTTTGATGTGGCTAAAGGATTTTCAAGTTTTGCCCCAAATTATCAAAGTGGATTTGTCAAATTAAGTTAAAAGGTTAGCTTAAACCCTGTGTATGGTATCCCTAACAACTAGAATTTCATGTACAACATGATAATCAAGTTTGTGACTAGAAGATGTGATATGCAGCAAAGCTAATGGATGATCAAAGCTGATCAATATGAATAGTTTCAGAGTTGGATGGAAAGTGTTGGATGTGACAAACAAACCTTAATTCTGTTAGGCAAGAACAGAGATCTTTATTTACAACAGAAATGAAGTTAGTAAGTTATGTTTCACAACCACAGAGTTGAATATGTCACAGCAGCACTGGTTCAACATGTTGATCTTAATCAATAATCCTATATGTCTGAATGCCAACATAAGTGGAAGAGAATTCATTAATGTAGACTCCATCTATTTTTCTCTCTCTTCTTGCTCTAGAACAAACAATAACACAGTCTTCAAACAATGATTCATCAAGGCAATAAATAAGGATACAAACAGTTATATATGGTTTCACCAGAGTGCTACAATTAACAAACTATGTGGCACAACATTACATACACTAAGTAAATATGCAGTGTTCAAATATGGTTGTTGGTAAAACACAAGAGTACAAGAAAAGCCTTAATTCCATTCATATGAAAATGAAAGGACATCACATATAAGTTGCTACGTGAAAGAGCAATGACTTTCAGAAGGAATAGACAAATTACTAGAATTATTAGTTTTCCATGCCCAAACTAGTTAGTAAATTCTGTAAAGATAAGAAAAATAAAAGTCTACAAAATGAAATAAATATTACAATAATTTCTTACATTTCAAACTATTATGTATTTTCATTTATTTGTTGATCAAAAACTTATAAATCATAATACGATATTTTAAGTTTGGTACTTTAAATAATAAGCATATTCTTATTTTGTTCTTAGAAGAGTTTGAGCAGTTGGAAGAAAGTTTTTATAAATTTAAGTCTCAACATATATTTATATCATGCTGATATATATATATATATATACACACAAAAACACAAGCAACTTTTTAAAGAGTGACATGGATAGTACTCTTATTAATTTATAAAAACATTTAACATTTAATCAACTAGTGTATCTTTTATGTAAAAACTCACATACTTGTATAAATTACTGTTTCATTGATTTTGGTGTCCTCGTCCATATTCTATGATAACAGGTCTTCCCCTAAGTAAATAGCCAGTGACCAGATGTTGAGCAGCAACTGCTTTCTCAACACCTACACATGGAACATATAATAAATGTACTGGAAATGTCATTATAAAAAACATCATTGGCCATATTAAAAATATTCTTATTTAATTAACCAAACAAGCAAAAAATAAGATCTCTACAGGAAGGATTAGTTACTAAATTTTCAAACTGTCTAACAGAAGACATCACAAGTAGCAGAGTAATGCTGTAGCAAACATTACAAGTTTTCGGTTAGTTCTAGGAGAAAATTTCTCAAGGTAGAAAATGTATTCCTGAAAACCACCAAACATCATTCTTTCACCATTAATGTAATAATCAATAAGGACTAAAGACTGACAGTTGTAACATAATGTACAACACCTGATTGTGCAAAGTTGTTTTGAGTGTGTTCTTTTTGCATTAAAAATTTGAATTTGATCATACAGACAAACAAGATCAGTAACAAGTCACAAAAACATTTTCACACTGGATATCTTTTTGTTTTGTAGAAAATGTAAATTTAAGGACTTGTAAAGTAGCAGCATTTATAATAATCATCTTAGAAAGTGAAAATTTACTTCCAAATATTACAGCAGTGGATAATAATTAATCACAAAATTGAGGATAACAAAGACAATTCTGTAATTATGGCTTTTCGATGAGTATCAACAGTTTCAAGTATTAATTAAACAATTAATTACTCATCAGAAATGTCAGTGGAATAATGAAACCCAAGAAAATTCTGCAATCAATGATTTCTCAAAGAAAATAATATTTAAGTGAAAGACACGAAAATACATGCACATAAGAACCACAGTAAAAAAACTTCAAATATTCGAGTATTCTGATATATAAAAAAGGACAAGAAGTACAACCTGCTTAAAAATATCAACAGTATCTTAAGAAAATTCCTTTCTTCAGCACAATTACTTCAGTGAATTTCAAACTCTTGTTAGGGAATTCAGTATTTCACTGATATGGTCTTTCAGTGAAAAGCAAAACAGATTAGGAAACTCCAAAAACAACTGAACTTATGAGTGGCTTTTGGAGAGGAACAGAAGCCTCCATAACTCAAATCTTATTACAAAGTTAACTAGAAGTATAATTAATGATGCATCTAAATATGACACAGTAGGGAGATGGTCATATTACTGCATGCAGTTCCCACAATCTCTATAAAAAAATTATATTCTCTCAGTGTTGATGAAAATACTATGTACATCTTAACGAGATATGCCTGATGATGGTCCAAATAAATGTAGTCGAAACATGTAATAAAATATCATTGTTTTTGCAATAATAAATAATTATGGTTTAAATGGTGTATTATTTTTACTGCATGTGTATTACCCATACACATGGTCCAAATAAATGTAGTCGAAACATGTAATAAAATATCATTGTTTTTGCAATAATAAATAATTATGGTTTAAATGGTGTATTACTTTTACTGCATGTGTATTACCCATACGTTTAAAAACAAAGACTGACTACAACCACACACAGGTGTAGAAGCAATGTGGAATCTTAAAAATTATCCTACAAGTACTCAAATAATATGAGAACTTTATACAAAATTCACATGAGCAGTGGTTTTTTTTAGGACAGTTCAAACTGTTTTAATCTTACAGTACTTTTAGATTACTCATTTCAAAATGTTCACATTTTCCTAAACTGAAAATGTATTTCCAATAATACTTACCTCCTCTCACACCATAGCTATTTCTCGATCTCCAGGGTTTCCACTCTTTGCCCATCTAAGTATTGAAAATGCTTGCTCCAGTCTTTTATATCCCATTCGAATGCCCTTGGCAAATTTTACTTTGCAGAATTATCCACCAGTTTCAATGCACCCTCTATCTAGGTACTGTATATAAGCACCTCATTCAGATAATGTAATCGCTTTTTTGAGACATAAACCAGCTTTTAATGGGGAGGTAGGGTGGGAGAGTGTCAGTGGAGGTAAGTATCATTGGAAATACATTTTCAGTTTAGGAAAATTTAACTTTCAAAACATACTTACCTCTGCTGACACTATAGCTAGAATCCCACACTGAGAAGGTGGAGGGGCTGGTGCAGGCATGAACCATCCAGAAAGCTTCTGTATAGAACAAGAGTGTACCAAGATGGTACAAGGGTGGGGAACTACACTACATCTAGAACAGGTATGCTCTTCACCAGGAACGTAGTTCCTATATCAACGGTGGAATAGAATATGAGTAATCGTCAGTATAGGCAAGCCCCAACCAGATAGCTGAGGTTCCACAACTCAGCGTTGGAATAAGGGGGTCGTGGTAACTATATTCCACGTTAGTGGACAGGGCTGTTGGACTGCAAAGTTATACATATACTTTTGATTAGATCCCAATCTGTAGCCACAGTGTGATGTATTTCACACCACTAGAATCAGAACAAGAAAGTGAGCAACACTGAAGTGGACAAACTTTCTCCTCCACCTGAAGAAGTCCAAAAGGTAACACCCCAGGTTCAGAATGACAGGATCGTGTATGCCATACTCAACCAAAGGAACAGAACTCATCTGGTCTGGAATTATGAAGATTCATCCTCACTCCCCGACTAAACAGGCAAGAAGTATTCCACTTGCCTCTAAAATTAACTCTCTCAACACGGGGTCGGTCAATTTGACCGAGTCACGTGACATTTTGTACTCATTTAAAGTCTTTATAAATTTAATACTTATAACTCTCAATATATTGGGTATATCTTCACGAAATTTGGCAGTCTTTCAGTTAATATTACAAGTCTTTCACATACAAAAACTCACATTTCTTAGTGAATTATTTTTAATAAAATAAATATTTGTCCAGAAATATATTGAGTATTTGTTTTGAATAGTCCATGTGCAAAGTAATTTTTATGTTAAAATTAAAAATACTTTTAGTCATCTCAAAAATCTGAAATTTCCTTTGTGTAATCCCTAAATCATCCTAAATGCATTTTACACTAAAACTTTATTGTTTATCTGTTAGTTTCTCTATCCTATCTCAAAACAGGATCGGTTAAATAGATCGACCTTGTAACCACAAAAAAAAAAAATCAAAATAAACCAATATTAACCATTTTTTTTTCTAGAATGACTTCTATTTGTAACATGAAACTACATTCATTTATCCCGAATAGCTCTAAGTTCATAACATTATACATCTATTTATAATTCAATTTTATTGTTTTATTGCCCTTTGAACCGTGTCTAACTACTAT